GAATAGAGGGAATAAAATGGTATGATAGAATAACTAATGTAGAACTTTGGGAGAGAACTAAACAGGCTCCAGTGGATCAGGAGGTGAGGAGAAGACGCTGGCGTTGGATAGGGCACACACTGAGAAAACAGGAGAACAGCATAACTAGAATGTCTTTGCATTGGAACCCACAGGGGCATAGGAATAAAGGAAGGCCAAAAAACACATGGAGAAGAGAGCTGGAGAATGAGGTTAGAAAGATTGGGAGGACATGGGGAGAGCTCCATGTAATGGCGAAGGATAGAACGACTTGGCGTGAGTTGGTTGAGGGCCTATGCTCCATTGGGGGATAAAAAGGCAGAAGAAGAAGAAGAATATTTCTTCTTCTGCTTCTTCTTCTTCTCTTCCACCTTGTACCTCATCGTTTATTATTATTTTACCTTTGATAAAGCATTATTGTTTACATAATATTTCTTCTTCTGCTTCTTCTTCTTCTCTTCCACCTTGTACCTCATCGAAGTGTCGGAGGAAGATGTAATGTTCGTTGATGAGCTCTGTCAAGAGCATTATAAAGACTGATGTTTATTTCTGTAAGGCTGTTCCTAATGCCATCACTCCATATTTTCCGAGGTCTTCCACTCGCTCTATACCAGTTGTAACATTTCAGTGTGGCTCGCTATGGCAGATAGTACTAGAGCATTCTTGTTAGGTGCTAAAACCACTTCATTTGTTGTTCTTTGATGACCGGTAAGACTAGCTTTATTCCTAGCATTCGTCTGATTTCATGATTTCGTATTCTGTCTTTCATTGAAACTCTTACAGCTCTTCTAAAGCATTTCATCTCTGTTGTCACAATTTTACGTTTATTGGAGGATGTAAGTGTCCACGTTTAACATTGATATCATAGTAGTGGCCAACACATAGTTTGAATAATATTTGAATACCATAATATAGTCATTTCAGTCACTTCATTGTGTGTGTGTGTGCGTGTGGTGTATGTGTATGTTGTGTTTTATTTCTTGTGTTCATATGATAAAGGCTAATCTACGCAATGTTATCTATTTGTATATTGATTTGATTTGATTCAAGAACCGACATCGCAGCACTAAGCGCTCCGTCCCCATCTTCAGCAGCCAGCGAAGAGTTCTGATACTAATGGTGCCAGTAGCATTCTGATTAAACGTCCGTCTTGCATTTTCTCTGAGCCTCGAGCATCTGCCAGAACCTCTCGTCACTCCCCACTGCATCAATCTCGCCAGACTGTGGTGATCCATCTGCTCCTCCGAACTGTACACGCTCTCCCACAAGGCACTAACCAGTCTGCGTTATCATGTATCAGTAATCCACCAAGTTGTGCAGAGCCAGCCAGTCTGTCCGCCTGTTCATTCCCCAACACACCGGCATGACCCGGTGAAAAAATCCAGACAATACTCCTCACCCGTGTCCTCCGCAGCGAAGCATGCCACTCTGCACGAAACATGTCTGTTCTGATCTTTCTCAGCATGCTTTCTGAATCAGTTACAATCACGTGTTTGTCTATTATAAGTGGTTTTGTAAAGCTCACGTATACTTTAATATACTTTTCTCATTGCAATATGCGATAGCAGGTAAAGTATCCCAAAGCTGGCAAAAGTGTCTGGGGTGCTGAATATACTTCAAGCACGCATGCACAAGTGCCCTAGGCACGACCCTAAAGAAGAATACTGACTAGCACAGGTACATAAGGCAACATGGAACCGCCAGCACTGTCATAATAAAGGTTGTACATCAATATTGTATAGACCATTAAAAGTCATCCATGCTAGTGCGTCATTTGGGTTCAGGACAGCGGGCTTCTTGCAAAGTGGCAAGCTTTACTGCGGAGGTTTTTTCACCGGCCTGCGCTAGTGTTTTGGGAAATTAACAGGGGGACAGACTGGCTGGCTCTGCACAACTTGGTGGAATACTGATACATGGTAAGACAGACGTGGTTAGCGCCATGGTTAGTGGGAGAGCTGTACAGTTCGGAGGAGCAGATGGATCACCACAGTCTGGTGAGATTGATGCAGGGGGCAGTGACGAGAGGTTCTGGCAAATGCTCGAGGCTCATAGAAAAGGCAAGACGGAGGTTTAATCAGAATGCTACTGGCACCATTAGTATTAGAACTCTTCGCTGGCTGTTGAAGATGGAGACAGAGCGCTTATGGGAATGCCCCGAGGGCTGTGATGTCGGTTCTTGAGTCAACTTAACTCAATTAAACTTTGGTTTATTCATGGACAAGTACATTAGGACGATGAATTGGTGGCAGATGGCTGACCACAGTCTATCTATTAAAATCTAACAAATATACACTCTGACAGACTCCAAAGGCGGCAACATCTCGTGAGTCTATAACACAAGACACATCCGGCATATGGGCCTACCCCTGCGGTCACCAAAAGCCTATAATGAACACATTCAGCATATGGGCCGACTCCTGGGGTCACCAGTAGCCTATAACAGCAAGTATTGCCGGATAAGCCGGACTGAGCTGCGGGAAAGCAGATTAAGAGTACTGTTATCAAAAGACCCGTAAACCCGTAAACAGCCACTAGCACTAACCAACACTGTGAAAATATAATCAACAAAATCACAGTGGTCAGATAAATTTAGTGGTCTAGATCTCGCTGACTCGTCCCCATATAACTAGCAGCATTGACAGCACTCAGAATGATACACCGAATTCCGCTCCTCAGTGCAAAAGATCTAAGGAAAAAATAGCACACGTTTTTACGAACAAAACTCATCCATGTCCACCCACACCTACTCTATCACACTGACAAGAGGCATTGGCTTTGTCAATGGTTTATCTCCAGCAGCCGGCCACACTTGGGTCTCACATTACCCGTGGAGCCGTTGTTACTCATGAGTCTTTAGAAAAACATCAAGAAAAGATATAAAACCGAACGAAAAGTATATTAGCAAGCTTCACAATACAACAAATACATACAAAACATGACCGGTGCGGCTATGGAGCCTTCATCAGCACATACAAATTAAAAAATACTGAAAAAACATGTCTTACCACTTAAGTAGCCTGGACCTTTTGAATTCGCCTTTGTCATCATCATCAAGAGCCCTGACAACTGACGTGGGCGATTATGTATCTGACCTCTTGCACACTTTAATACTGCAGTGAGTTAGCATACAACACTTATCCTTTTCTATTTTATTTCTCTACTCTATGTGTTGTGAAACTTTTATTTTAAATCGTATTCATAGGAAATGCGAGACGCAAATATGATCAAAACCAAAATGGTACGGGCATTGGCTGTTGTATATGGGGACAGACAGATTTTGGGAAAACCTAGAGTAATATGATGTCGATTTTTAATTCTTTTGACCCTCAGCAACTGACCATTTTGTATCGCCCATGGTGTACTGGCAAACGAATGAGATGTTATTACAACCTTTACATTTGGTCTGAGTGTACTTAAAATATATGGCTAGATGAGCTTTTTGCGACTCTATACGGTATAGAGTATAAAAGTGTGTGGTGCATTTTTTTTTCATTGTGCTTTGTTGTACTCTTTTGGTAAATGCATCGAAATTATGTAAGATAAAACGAGTGAAATAATTAATGGCTTTTAAGAGTGTTTTTGTTAAGAATTCTGTATCAGAACCAATGCATCCATCCTTATTTTCCATACCATTATATCATAGCTTTCGAAAAACTTGGGTTAGATGGCAACACGCGTTCATTTATAAACGTTTGAGTTGGAGAGAAAACGAACACACATTTCTTATTTAACATTCGATCACGTATCGACTGGCTTGTGTAAATCATGGTATTGATATGTCGTTTATGAATCTCTTTTCAGAAGTCTGCAGCCTGAAACTGGCAGGTTAGAGGTGCAAACATTGATTTTTGCTCATTTGGCAATACGTGTGTTGTTGAATATGCAGGTTAAGATGAGGTGTTCTCGTTTGGACTCTGCATAAATAAATAAACTTATTGACACAGTCAACATAGTTTAACAGTTCAACAGCCTTTAGTTCACTCGTTTTATCCTACATAAGAAAATAGTAAAGGACCCTTTTCCACGCTTTTAGGAGTATAGGGCATATAGGGCTAGACCTATATTTTATAGACTAAACAGCACAAAGTGAGCGATGTAGTCAGCATGACGCCGGCCGCCTCTACTTTCCGGAACTGCACCTGGTACCCACTCAAGGATGGGTCGACCTGGGAGCGCCAAGGTCATTTTTGAAAAATGTCCAGCTTCGCCAGGAAGCGAACCCACGACCTTCCGATCCGCGGCGAGCGTCTAGCCGCTCCGCCATGGCGACTCCGTTTATCCCACATGATTTCGCTGCATTTACCAAAAGAGTACAATGAAACAAAATGCACCACACACTTTTATAGATACAACATATACCTATAGAGTCGGACGCCCGGCTGTCTAGCGTAGTTGGCTAAACCGGATTGCGTGGTGACCGGATAACGAACTCCTTGTGGTCCGGGTTCACTCCCGGGGGTAGGCAGAAAAGCCACATTTCTCCTAGATTTACGGTATTTACAATGGAATCAAGACCGAAAGGTTGCGATATCCATAATACCGAGCCTAAGGGTTAACAACTCATGGCTTCTGGGTACTAAAACAAATAAACAAACAAACAAACATAGAGTCGGACCGGCTCATCTTACCAAATGATACTAGTACATGCATTAAAAAAAAAGTGAATTGCATTGACGTCGCAACACGAACCTCACTAGTTGTCTGTGTTGCTGGTTTTATAAGACAATGTTACATTCAGTAGTGAGCTTACATCTTTCTTTGAACCGTAGAGGCGGAAATATGTTAAAACCCTAAGCCGCGGCTATCGATTTTCAGCTAAAACTGTTGGTTATAATTGCAATGAAAATACCTGCATAACGGGCTTAAACAGTTCTTTCTCCTGGCTCCAGGACTGGAAAACTGCAGACCATTTCTGCAGTCACAGGCCTAACTGGCAATGAGGTGTTCTTTAATCAGAATGAGACATATACGATGTGGACTCAATGGTTATCTTCTGGTGGTGTGTGTTCTCATTATCCTTGCTGTCATCCATATGCGGAACTCTACATTTACACAGATTATGTCACGTAAGTAGAGTTTTAATGTACTATAGTTTTATCAGGATAGTTGAGTTAACTACAGTTACATAAAATAGTTCAGTTACCAAAGTTATTAATCACAGCCATGCATTATTTCACTTTACCATTGTAAAAAAATAGTTCAGGTCACCCTAATTTTTTTTTAAAGAAATAGATACCAGTTTACCATTGTTACACGAATATAGCTCAGTTTATCAGGTTACATAAATATAGTTCAATTTATCGTAGATGCATAACTATGGTTCAGCTAACCATATTTACATAAATTTAGTTAAGTTTACATCAATATAGTTTAATTAGTTTGGCACCATAGTTGTATAATGTATAATTTAGTTGATCATTTAGGCATCAGTATCGTTTCAGTACACTATAGCTGCACATGTAAGAGTAAAGGACCTTTTTCCACGCCTTTCAAGTGTATCGGGTATATAGGGCTAGACCTATATTTTATAGACCAAACGGCACTTTGAGGGTGATGTCGTCAGCATTACGCTGGTCGCCTTTACTTCCCAGGGATGTCCTGGTACCCACTCAAGGCTGGTTCGACCTGGAATCCGAGGTCATTTCAGTTGTATAAGTAGTGTTTTAATTTACCATAGTTGCATAAGTAGTGTTTTAGTTTACCATAGTTGCATAGGGACTGTTTTTAATAGCCATAGTTGCGTAAGTGTCGTTTTAATTTGCAAGAGTTAGATAGGTATCTTTTGTTAAGGTAATTGTATTGTTTGTTTATTACAAGATGTTTGCACCTGTCTGTCTTTAAAGAAAGGATTTACTTTATTGTACTAAGGTGTATCCCATATGACGCTGCCTCGCTCTGTAATGCGACTAGCCGCCTGCTGGTAGAGTCACACAAAGCACGATATATGTAGCTCTGGTGACAATCCACAGGAATCAACCTAAAAATCACTCTTCTACTGAACCACGCCTTGAAACGGACCCATGAACTTCAGAGCGCGAGGCAAGCGACTTGACCATTTCTAGACAATCGTGTTATATTGTGCTATAGCGAGGTATATCAATCACAGTCCAAGGTAACGGTGCACAAATCCTGGGCAGTATTGCAGAAACCACGTGATGCTCATGCAGCCAGATCCCTCCCCATGCCTGACCTGTTTACCCCTAATGAAATGTAGCGCCAGTACATTTAAAACAAATCAAGCTGCAGAAGCTACTGAATCAGAACAGGGCTCTATATGTCACCCTGCCCTCTCTCTCCCAACCCTTTTCTGTATCCTTTCCCAAGGCCAGCTGCAAACCAAAGCTGAAGATATGGTCTGTTCATTACGTTTTCAGCCTGCATCCTGTCGTCCTATGATAAGGTTAATAACCTACCAATTTTGCCTCTCTGTCCGGAGTAAAGATTGAACAGCCTTAAAAGTCTATGGTTAAGCACCAGCTGAAATGCTATAAAAGATTCTCAAAATATCGTGGACAAAGAAATTGACATCTTAAAAGATCTGAACATCAAGAAAGATTAGCTGAAAAAAAAACAGCATCCTTTCTCGGAAGCTGAAATATTTTGGTCAAATCAAGCGCCAAGACGGATTGGAAAAAAATTATAGCAGAAGGCATGGTACCAGGAAGGAGAGCAGGGGCCGACCAATACGAAGATGGGCACAGGAAATAAGCGACTCCTTGAGTGTGAAAGTGCATGAGGCGGGAGAACTGGCGAGAGACCGAGTTTCTTTCAGGCAGACTGTGATGAGAGCGACGTTCTGCAAAAGACCAGCTACATGATGATGATGATGCCCGGGGTGCGGGATGCACATACCAGCGACGATGACCATCCTTTCATTGAATGATAAATGGGTTAGATAGAATGTGATTAAAGTAAGTGATGGCTGATAAAGCAAGTCTGCACATTATGTTCTTAGACAGTGTAAGTAAAGTAACAAGACCCTTTTCCACACCTCTGAGGCTTTTTGGGGATATAGGGCTAGACCTAGATTTTATAGACCAACGGTACAAGATGGGTGATGTGGTCAGCATCATGCCGGCCGCCTTTACTTCCCAGGACTGCACCTGGTACCCATTCAAGGCTGGGTCAACCTGGAAGCCAAGGTCATTTTTTTTTTAAAGTTTGTCTCCGCCAGGGAGAGAACCCACGACCTTTCGATCCGCAGGCGAGCGTGTGACTTCTTCTTAGACAGTGTGGGCAGCGAATTTAAATCTCATTCACGAAGCATTTTTCTACACTTCTACAATCTCTATTAGGCTTTTGCAAATATTCCCCAACCATCGCAGTCTATAAACCCTTGAGAATTAGTGGTCATTTAAACAGGTTGCGAATTTCGTCATTGTTTCTCACCCTCTCTCTTCTCCGCTCTTTGCAACTTTGATGAATCCAAAGATTCATCGCGAGACTGTTGTCGAAAGTCTAAAATGCGACTTCGTCTCTTTGAGTTGCCTTCCAGGTTTCAGAGTCATACATGACAATTGGTCTTATCAAATAAATTACAATGCCACCAGCCAAGTGTGGCAGAACAGTATGAGATTAATTCCCAAAGACGAAACAGGGCGTCTATAATGTAAAAAATGAACTTCAATGCTTCCGAACGGCAGTTAAACGCTGAAGGCTATGAATATATACCATTGGTGTATTGTCGAACACACTTGATCAAAAATGAGAAAATGTACAAATAATAAGACTTTTGGTTAAGACTCACCCAAATACACCGACACTCGCTACCGCACGCACACTTTTTGCATAAATTCAAATGACATCTTCAAACGACAGGTCAACAGTCCGACCTTGAGAGTCATGACGGTTAGATCGATCTCCTCTCCTGCAGCCTGAACAGGGCAATGTCCCTCTTTAGTGATTCGGTCTGGAGATCCATTCCTTTAAAATATACCGGCTTCCTGCCGAGCGCAATAAACAATGTACCAGCTTTCGGCTGAGGTTTCTAGTGGAGTCCCCGGGTAGAGCGTCCTCAAGGATCCACTGAGACGCGACCACACGTCTGTCTCTTTCAGACTCCAAATGCTTACATTACAATTCCTTAACAACATTACGTATTGTTTTGGGGTCATATTTGCTCAGTCAGTATTGGTGTGTTTCAGTGCATATCCGCACGCGACAGCGGGGGTGGAGGTGGAGGGGGGGGGGGGGGTTGTCTTTGCATTGCTATGACCATCCTCCTATTAACTTGTGTTGAACAGTCTCCATTTCTGCTAAATATGGAAGAGATATGAAAATGTTTGCGAGGGCTATGATGTCTGCATGGCAGACCCTTCACAATAGATCCATAAACAGCCACCCCGAGATATCACAACAGCTGTTGCGTGTTATTGTTTAATCCATAGTTATCTCACATATTACATTAACATCTTCAAGGTAACTGTCTATAAAGTTGTTTTATGAAATTTCAATGATTTATTCATTACTTATATATGTGAGCCCCCGTGCAGAGCTTCTGGACCCTCGCCTCTGAGTTTGAATGTTGCGGGTTTAAATCCGCACCTAAAGCCAGATTTTTTTCAAAACAGAACCTTGGTTCCCTGGTCGATTCAGCTTAAAATATGTACCAGGTGAAGTCTTAGGAAGTAAAGGCCGCCGCTGGGATAGGGCAGGACACCCGCCCCAACATAAAATGTTAATAAAAAGAGGACAAGATCACCCACCGAGTGACGATTGGTCTATACAATATAAATCTAGCCCTACCCGCCTAATTCGTCTGATAGCTTGGGAAAGATTTCTTTATGTAAACAAATCAAAAGTCAGGTAAAGGACCCCTTTACCGCGCTTTAGGTTTATTGGGCATATAGGGCTAGATCTATATTTTAAGACCAATCAGCACTCGGTGGGTGTTGTGGTCAACATCATGCCGACCGCCTTTATTTCTCGGAACCTGGTACCCATTGAAGGCTGGTTCAGCCTAGGAACCAGGATCATTTCTGGAGGGGAAAAAAGTCCATCTCCCTCAGGACCTGAACCCACGACCTTCGGATCAACAAGCGAGCGTCTAACAGCTACACCAATGCGTTACTTTTATATATTAGTAATAATGTGAATTCAGGAGAAAATTCCCACACAAAAAAGCAAGAATACTGCATATATATGCAGTATTATATTTCTTTGTCAGCAATGACAAAGAAATTTCTTTAAAATTAAATAAATCATTTCTTGATATACGGAAGTGAATCATGGACAGTTGTTCGATTAGTGAATAATTATGTGGAAGCTTCAGATACGTGATTTTATAGAGGAATGATAGAATACCCGCAGATAAAAAGAGTAATAAAGATGTCTTGAAAAAAAACTGACTCACGAAGAGAACTGATTGCCGACATCAGAAAGTGACAATCTACATTCTTTGTTGATGTGATGAGAAAGAGAAAACTGGAACACATCATGACAGTAGGAACGTTGGAGGGGAAGAGAGGCAGGAGGAGACAGAGAGAAAAGAGGATGGACATTTTTAAGTCATGGCATATAGGGTCATCTGTGTCAGAGTTGATTAAAAGTACACGAGACAGGTTGTGGATAGTCATTACTACCAATGCCACACAGACTTAAAGAAAGAGAATATATATATATATATGAACGCATTCAGGCGTACTTGGGATGCATGGCTGGGCCAATATTGTATAGACAAATCGGTTCTTAGTGGTCAGCATCATGCCGGCTTCAATATATATAGTACCCATTTCCCATCTTGATGGTCAATGGGTATATGATGCTAGACTATTTTTTTTTTCAAGAGTTGGTCAGTTTTTGATAGTTCATGTGCTATACCTTAGACAGGCCTCTTTTACTTTATAGAACATTCCTTTGCTGTATTAATCTGTGAAGCTAAGAATAACGCCAAGCACACAACTGAAAATGATTTTTGAGAACATCAAAGAATCAAATGGCTTGATCATATAGTCAGAATAGAACAAAATCAACCAGCAGCTAGAGCGTATTTCATGAAATCGGCAGGCTACAACGCAAGAGGCCGGCCAAGAAAGAAATGGGTGAAGGAAGTAAAAAAAAAAAGACACTACAAAAAGTCAGAATGACATTAACACAAGTTACGTAACTAGCAAAATGCAGTTAACTATGTCTTCCCTCTGCATTAAATCAAATGAAAAAAAAGATTAACCAGTGAGATCTGATCATTGAAAACGTATTCAACCTACATAACCAACTTGAACACACAACCACAGGGGTCAAACCGTCGGGCTACCCAGTATAACTATTTTATACGGCCGAACGATTACTTCTATCTGTCATCCTTGCGACATTTTGCCTACAGAAAGTCATGCTGGGTGGTGGGGGGTACATATAAGTGTGATGTGCTTGCGCCCGTGTGAGAGAGAGAGAGAGAGAGAGAGAGAGAGAGAGGGAGAGAGAGAGAGAGAGAGAGTAGAGGTTATATATAGAGAGAAGAAAGAGAGAACGAACGAACGAACGAACGAATTTTTTTTTCAAAGGGTTACAAATTAGGCACGCGGGCCTGTCTTACATTCGGCCCTTCCAAACTCTCATCTTTCACACAGCAGTTGTATTTCATAAATAAAGCATGTTATGTTCATGTAATAATGAGAGGCAACCAAAGATGCTGCACGGTCCCATCCAGGATGTTAAAAAGATTTCACACGATAGAATGGAACAGAGGAGTATAATGCCATCCCAATGTAAAGCAAAATCAACAGGCAGTGTTATACAAATGTATCAGTGTATTTTGTTTTTCTGGGGTTTTCTAAGCTCTGAGATTCATTACTGAAGGCATCACTAACCTCCATTCGTCTCCCTGCCCTTATCTTTCTCTTTGATGATTCCATCATGTGTTTTAAAGATCACTTCTATATTAAATTCCACAGCCTGGTTTTTTATTATATTTTTTTTAAATGTAAACATAATAACTCATTAGTGATATTTTACATATTTTAGAGAATCTTTATATTCAGCTCAGCTTCTAAATATGTTCATTCATTCATTCATTCAGTAGCATGTCCCTCGCGGAACCTCGCTGCCATAACAACCCTCCGGAAAACCTTCCTATCCTGAGCAAGATGTCCTGCGTCTGATACACCCATCTGGAGATCATCTGCCACATCCTGCACCCATCTTCTCCTTGGCCTTCCTCTTCCTCTCTTCCCAGGCATATACCCCTCCATTATTGTTCTCTCTAGACTTTCATGACGTTTCAAGTGACCAAAATATTTCAATTTTCTTTGTTTTATTGTCTTTACTAGCCAACCCTCTTCAATATTCAGCTCTTGAAGTATGGATGCATTTGTTCTTTGCTTTACCCAAGATATTCTTAGAACCTGTCTGTAACATTTATATTCAAATGCATTTATGCGCTGTTCCGCTTGTTTTCTAAATATGTACAGCAGCAAAATATATATTCAGTGTGGGTACTGTTTATTCAGAATTCTAAAATGTCTATAGGAAGTAAAGCGTAATAAAATTCATTAGTTATCCATGCACACCTTATCTTTCTAAACCCCAAACAGATGTGTTACTTTATAACTCATTTTGATATAAGAAGGTGTTATAATGAGACATGCACATAGACACACTGCAAACGGTTTTAACTGCCTTCAGGGCCCTCCCTAGCAAAAGAAGTATCTGAGAAATGTGTCAACTTCGCGGGACTTGTGTCTCATAAATGTGTCCTCAAACAAGTTAAACCCTGCAGATATTTGACAAACATGCGTGGAGTCCAGTTTGAATAGCTAAGGTTTCTTCCCGAGAAACCTACGAAACACTAAAACCTGTGCGATATGTAGACAACCTAAGGTATTTTACAACGTGTTAAATTGAGTATTGGAGTCTATTCTCTTAAGAAGCTAATATCATATCATCATCATCATTTTCATCATCATCATACTCATCCATTATTTTTGTTGGCAGGCACACTTTATCTTTTTCTTCTTCTTCTTCTTCTTCTTCTTCTTCTTCTTCTTCTTCTTCTTCTTCTTCTTCTTCTTCTTCTTCTTCTTCTTCTTCTTCTTCTTCTTCTTCTTCTTCTTCTTCTTCTTCTTCTTCTTCTTCTTCTTCTTCTTCTTCTTCTTCTTCTTCTTCCTTCTTCACAGCCTGTAAGCTCCGCTGGAGTCCTGGTTTTTCGTCCGTTTGGACTTCAGCTTTGTGCCAGGGTCTGAGCTTTGAGTGTGCATTGTTTTATTTGAATGCAACTGGTTGTTCCTTGCTTCTCGACCAGATGCACTCACTTCGGAGAAAGTTTCCAGCTAGTCGCCTTCTATGATATGTTTGTTGGGGAGGCAGTAGACCTATTCTTGTTTTCCCCACAATGGAACCCCGGAACCCACACTGGGAGGAAACAATGTGTTTTTTAAATTGAAAGTTGGAGATACAATTGTGATTTTTTAAGTGTATTATAATTTCAAGCAGTTAGCGAATAAAAATTGAACAATTCTTGTAAAACAAAAATTATTTTTAATGGATTAATTATGTCATCTTTTGACAAGGTAAAGCATTTGGATTCTCCCAAGAAGATGTAGATTACTTTGCCGAGAACATGGAAGTAAAGTTTCGAGTTGTCCAGAATTCGCCGAAGGTAAGTCATACTGGAGAGTAATTTTTATTTTATTTTAGTCTTGTGTGTGTGTATGTGTGTTGTTTTTTTTCTATCTTTCTAATCACATTCTATTTCTTATTCAGTATTCTTTGTCCTAGTGCCTCAGCTGTTTCCTTCCGACTACTTACCCCTACGGGAGCGGGAGCGGCCATAGTATAGCGGCTAGATCTTGACTGTGGATATAAGATGGGGGGGGGGGGGAGGGGGGGGGGAGGTGTCTCCTCAACATTATTTTTGCTTGATCAGTTTTTTGCTATCTACAAAAATGGGTTTGGTTTTTATAATAACTTTATTCTAAGATACAATAAGAGGGTGACATTTCTTCCAAAGATAAATTGACATTGCTAAAAAAAAGAGCCTGGTAAATAAAGTCACAACATCCAACATGAGAATGGAACTGGAGGGGGCAATTGCAGCTGTTACTGAATGGTAGTTACTGAATGGTAATACAGCTCTACATCTACTTGTAACAGAGCAGGGTAGGAGCATTTCTTGGACTTAATGTCCAGGGATGTGGAATGGCTGGGAAACAAGTAACCTGATAGACTGGCTGCTACAACTGTTATGGGTGGATATACACACATATATATATATAAATATCATGTTTCAGACTTGTTTTTAATCACTTTGGGACGTGAGTGCAAGGACTGGCCAGCTGGTGCTGCAGAATCAGAAGTTCAACAAATGATTCATGACAATTCCCGCCTAAGTGATGTGATTGTATATACAAATGGCTCTGTGGTGAGGGGCAGACGAAGTGCATGGGGGCTCATAGCGAAGGCGGATGGACGTCGTTTGGCGTAACAAAGCCTGGCATATGATATAACAACATCTAGTTTGAGAATTGAGGTGGAGGCAGTCTCTGCTGCCTTCTGTTGGCTTGAGAATCAGCTGTACACACATGTCATCATTGTAACTGACTCACAGAGCATGCTGAAAAAGGTGGAGACAGGCATGCTGACATGCAGAGTGGCAAGCATCACTTCAGAGGTCCCGGGTAGTTAGCATCCTTTGGATGTTTTCTCCATGTGACGCCGGTGTGTTGGGAAATGAGCAGGCCGGGCCAGTTCTGCACCACTTGGTGTTGAACTGATATATGACAAGCTGGATGTTGTGAAGGCCTTTTGGGAGCGAGTGAACAGTGCAGAGGAACAGATAGATCATTCCGATCTGCGGAGAATGGCACAGCAAGGAGTTACAAGGGGATCTGGCCGACGCTCGACACTCGGGAAAGGGGCGAGACGGATATACAATCATACTGTTACTGGTACCATCGGAATTTTGCTTGCTGCTGAAGATCTGGACGGAGCACTTATGGGAGTGTCATGAGTGCTGTAATGTTGATTCTTTATTCAATATTTAACATATATATATATATATATATGTGTGTGCGTGTGCGGGTGCATATGTGTGTGTGTGTGTGTGTGTGTTTGTTTAGCACTTTATTGATTTTCTTCTATTCCTTGCATTATTGGTAATTCTCATAATTTATTCTATGAGAAGAGGCCAGAATATAGTGTATTATGGTGCACAAAGTTAAACCAAAAACATAAATTTTATTTTAAGAGCATTTGTTTGGCTCACACAGCTTAAAATAACAGAATCAATGCAATATGTTGTAGTAATTTATATATAAATATCCAATTTAAACTTTCATAGAATATAAGTAGGAAATATAGTTTTTGACTTGCAACATATCATAAGATGTCTTTTTTAAATGACTGTGATAATCAGAATGTGTTTTCTATCTATAAGCATGTTTAAAGTGATGTGAATTATTACTATTATTATTGCGCTTTGCAGTATTAAAACACTAATTACATATATTTTTTTATTCTTGTGATTTATTATTTACTCTTTTTTGTACAGTTCTTTAGGGCTATCTTTAACATGTTTTCCATTGTCACAGACTTATGATTGTCTGTCGTTTATTCACTATGGAATGCTTTGATGTTAAAATTTCAAAAAATTTATTTAAAAAAAGACAAATTTACATCATTGTGCTCCTGACAATAGCCCAGATGTCTCCTACTGAAATAAGCCACAAATTGTAGACCCACTAATGTACTGTTGCCCGGAATTTTTATTTCTTTTAAATAATGCTATTTGTTATAAATATCTATGTGGCTATAGTCGTACTTCATTTAAGGAAGGCATATGAATAAGTTCCACTGTGTTACAGGTTGCTGAATCTTACCCAAAATCAAGAGCAAAAGATCTTTTTGAAGCTGAAATTACTTTGATCAACAGGGGACTAAAAGTTTTTCCAAACTCTGGGTGGAGTATATTTTTTAACCAGGTACTTTTAAACTGCCGTTATGTTTTTTTTTTTTACTTTATTATTGACACAATCATCTTTATTAACCTTGATTGCTTTTTTAGGTAACTACATAACCATCGAGGGGCCTCAATGTAACTATTTATGATTGAATAGGAAGGACTTCAGGGATTTGTACCTGTTTGATTTTCATCCTTGAGATGTTAAGGCTACAAACTGCAATTCTGCAGTAGGCAAACTACCTCTTCTCATTCTGTCTTAGGTGATGAGCAAGATGCAAGGATCTGGTTCTTGCTCTTGTTTTAGAGAATGGAGGGGGAGGCAGTCATTGTTGCCTTCAGCTGGCTTGAGAAGCAGCTGTACATGCACGCTGTCATTGTAACTGACTCACAGAGCATGCTGAGAAAGGCGGAGGCAGTCATTGTTGCCTTCAGCTGGCTTGAGAAGCAGCTGTACATGCATGCTGTCAATGAAACTGACTCACAGAGCATGCTAAGAAAGGGGAAGGCAGTCATTGTTGCCTTCAGCTGGCTTGAGAAGCAGCTGTACATGCATGCTGTTATTGTAACTGACTCACAGAGCATGCTGAGAAAGGTGGAGGCAGGCAGGCTCCGTGCAGAGTGGCAAGCATCACTTCAAAGGTCCCAGTTAGTTAGCATCCTTTGGATATTTTTTTCCAGGTAATGCCACTGTGTTGGGAAATGAGCAGGCAGATAGACTGGTCGGTTCTGCACCAATTTTTGGTGAACTGATATATGACAAGTTGGAGTGAGCTGTGCAGAGGAACAGATAGATCATTTAAATCTAAGGAGAATGGCACTGCAAGGAGTTAAACGGGATCTGACCGACGCACAAAACTCAGGGGAAAGGCGAGACCGATATAGAATCAGACAGTTACTGGTACCATCGAAATTTTAACTCTGTGCTTGCTGCTGAAGATGGGGACAGAGCGCTTATGGGGGTGTCCAGAGTGCTGTGATGTCAATTCTTAATTCAACGTTCAACATTGGTTCTTACTCTTATGATCGCCTCTGCCATATGCACTTTATACTCTTGTAGAGATTCTCTAATTTTATCTTTCCCACATATTTCTTGGCCTACCTCTAGCTCTGTGTCCCTAATTATTTTTGTAATTGTCTTACGTGGTGTAGCCCCAAACAACATTTCCCTAAGTGGGCAAACCAGTTTTGTATGTAGTAGTTTTGATTCTATGCTGACTTTTATTATTATTGCTATGATTATTAAAATATGCTATCATAAGGATTAAATATATCAAGCACAGCTCGAAAATGTTGATTAATAGCAACAGATCTCAAATACTTTACATATCACTCACTTTGGGGCACACTCTTACATGCACTTCGTCAATCTGTTGATGGTATCTTCTTACTTCTATATTGTCTATCTCTAACTTCCTTGTTTTTTATTTTATTACTCTTACTATTCCTATTGACTTTAAAGCTTTTATGTTTGTTTAATTTTGGTTTATATTAATTAACATTTTTTAAATGTTCACCCATATTTTCAACAAGCTCTGACTGATGTCATTTAAGGGGGGGGGGGGGGGGGGTGTAGTTGTCCAAATTTGTGCACCATACCAAAACTATGTTATTTAAATTGTCCAGTCATTAAATAATGTAACTGATTTTATTAGGGCCAAAACAAAAAATATCATCCGTGAACCAAAGCAAGTCATCCAAACAGGCACCAGTCATCTATGATATTGTCAGATTGCAACACTGCCATGTCTATGAATTTAAAAAAAATGGCCATTTTGCTCAACTAGTGAGATTTGCTTTGTTACATATGCAGAATGAAGCACACAGCAAACACTAATTTCTTTATTAGTCAGAAAGAAATGATACTGAGAAAATTGAATTTATGAGACAATTTAATGTGGATAATGTTTATCTCATGCACAGTTATACAGGTGGTACATATGATTCAAAACTAGTGTGAAAAAAAAAAGTTTAAGAATGGAGCTGGGTCAGGATTTACAATTGCTATTCTTAATTATGGACTCATTGTCAAAGGCGAAGAATAGATCGCTTTTTGTCAGATGCTAACCTTTTTTTTTTTTAATGCAATGTTTTATGTAAACTAATTTTGTGCAGATAACTTTTTCTTCAAAGTCTATGCCATGTTATGCTGGTTATATCTGTCCGCAGTCTTCTGTCACATTTAAGGTCAATCATTTTTTAAACAGTTATTTTGTATGCCATGATGGCAACAATGGTATGAGCTTCTCCTCTAGGCTCCACCTGGCAGACAACAACAAAACAGAAAATTTTGCTGATAAATGTGAAAGTTTATCAATTGTTTTCGTGGACAGATATTAACTATAGAGCCTGGATTCATCCCTGAACAATCATTTGTACCAAAGCCAGAACCAGGAGTCCACTTCATCACTGGAATGGAGAACTGTACAGCCTGGAACCCACGGACACATTTTCAGACATAAACCCTGGTGATGTTAAAGCCATCCGCTACTACAGCAGATGTTGCAGCGTGACTTTTACTGATGCACTTCCAAACTGGTAGGTTGCATATTAACTGTAGTTGTAGTCGAAGATTAAACTCTTCTGCAAATGGGTCACTCTATAATTTTTCCCTTTTTGTGCCAGTGAAAGCCATACAGTTCTTCCGCATGAAAGAAACTTGAATTTAGTTTATGATTATAAATGGTTCCTTTTACCTTGACAATTATTTCACAAAGTCAAATAGTTCATAAATACCTCAGCATACATTACTCACATGCTCCATAGATATCCCACTATAGTTTTATCTGTCTTCTGTTGTGATAAACTACCACTGTGCATTCTGTATGCACATATAAATATATATATATATATATATATATATATATATATATATATATATATATATATATATATATATATGTATATATATATATATATATATATATATATATATATATATATATATATGTATATATATATATATATATATATACATACATACATACACGGAAGTGTGCGTTTAAACGTAACTGATAGAAATCATATAAGTGAGCATGTGATAAGTGTAAATAGATTGTCATCATCTTTATGTGCAATGCCAAAAAGGATATTTGATACATATGGGGAACCTGTGCATGGATTTCCCTAACTGATGGGAGTGTCTGAAGAGGTGGAAATGGAGGCTGTGAGACTTAGTGAGGTTAGCCGGTATATGGCTCACCTACCTTAGATTTTCTCGCATCTTTGATTTTTTTGGGGGGGTTTCCTTACAGATCTAACACTGTACACTTAATACATAAAAGGGCACGGTAAAGAGCCCTTTAGTTTTTATTGTGTGTGTGTTTTTTAAACAGGACCAGTAGGATTACATTAAACTTATATTCTACAGATTCAACATCCCATACAGCAATAACAACAAAAGCTTAAAAGTCAGAACAAAAGAAAAGAAATATCACCAGATTTTTCTAAACTGGAGAGTGAAGCAATGTCAACAATATAAAATAATACAATTCGAATTTTTTTAAAAAATGCAAGTGCACACACATCTCAAGTGATCTAGTAGTTATTTCAGTGAATACAATTTATATGATCCCATGGTTGCCTAAGCAAATTTTAAATGCAATACTGCAGAACTATTCAACTGGCAGCCAACAGGTTAAATCAGGCCCACAGAGTCCTAGCAAGTGGCAATGAGAATAGAAAGTAATATCTACAGTTCAGATGAATTGAGTTGAAAACTAACACCACAGAACTTGGTGCATTCCTAAAAGTATTGTTTCCTCATTTTCAACAGTTTCTGAGTTATGTTATTAATTTTGCCAGTAGCAGTCTGATTATATCTGTATTGCCTTTTATTTAGCTGTTGAGTGTTGGCCTGATCATCGGGTCCTCACCAATGCCTCATTCACATCAGATACTGATGGTCTATTTGCTCTTCTACATTGTTCACTTGCTCCTAAAGGACCTTTTATCTTCTCATTTACAATAAAACAAAACAAAAAACTCTCAATTTCAGCACTTCAGAGGTTTTCCTGTCTTTATTTTGATGCAAACACTTTTTTAAAAACATTTCAGGCCTGTGAAAATAGTTGCATACAACCCTTCTTCAACAGTAAATGTGCTCAGCGGTGGATGGGAGATTGTGTCTGATTCCCTCTTCAACACCTCTGTCTCAGCTCTACAGGGTAAGGTCCTGCTGTTTCAGATCACAATTGAAATGTGTTGAATTTTCATGTTGTGTGGAGCTGTGTTTGCAAACATTGTCTTGTTATCAATTAGTGTAGCTGCCATAGAAATGATTAGTTAAAATTTTAAATTAAACATTTAACTTTTCCTTATCAAGAAGTACACTATATGTGGTTAGCTAATGTGTGTTTATATGAAACAGTACAGGCTGTGCATGTATCTTAGATATTTGGTCTGACCAGTCACAGTTATCTGGTTAGATATTTTAACAGGCAGTGAAACATGCTGCCACTTTAAAAGTAGTATACTAATGATTATATCGCTTTTTTTTAAACTGTTATTTTTTTATGAGTGGAACCGTGCTCATACAACTGTTTATATTTCTTTATTTGCTATATTCCCACAAGAATAAAGTGTAAAACATAAAGTCAAATAAAGTGTAAAACATAAAGTCATGGAATAAAAATATAAGTACAAAATTATATAACATTTTTTATAATTTTTTTTTTATATTGTTCTCTTTTTACAAAGTATTTATACAGCCACTTGTCATTTGATGCCAGAAAATGACAAAACAAGTAAGCTTATAAAAATATTAAACAAAATTTTCAAATTGTAGTTGATTTGATTTGATTCAAGAACCGACATCACAGCACTCGGGGCATTCCAATAAGCGCTCCGTCGCCATCTTCAGCAGCCAGCGAAGAGTTCCGATACTAATGTTGCCAGTAGCTTTCTGATTAAACATCCGTCTTGCCTTTCCTCTAAGCCTTGAGCTTCTGCCAGAACCTCTCGTCACTCCCAACTGCATCAATCTCACCAAACTGTGGTGATCCATCTGCTCCTCCGCATTGTACACGCTCTCCCACAAGGCACTAACCATGTCTACCCTATCATGTAGCAGTATTCCACCAAGATGTGCAGAGCCAGCCAGTCTGTCCGCCTGCTCATTTCCCAACACACCAGCGTGCCCCGGTGAAAAAATCCAGACAATACTCCTCACTTGTGTCCTTCGCAGCGAAGCATGCCACACTGCATGAAGCATACCTGTTCTGATCTTCCTCAGCATGCTTTCTGAATCAGTTACAATTACAATGTGTGTGTGTGTCGTGTTCTCTAGCCAGCGGAAAGCTGCAGTGACCGTCTTCACCTGCATTCTTAAGCTGGATGTTGTGGTATCATATGCTAGGCTCTCCTGCACCAAACGTCGACCATTAACTTTTGCTAAAAAAAAACAAGCACTTCTTTTGCCTCTTGACACTGAACTGTCTGTGTAAATGATCAAATCCTCTGAGCGAGCATTATCTTGAATTAATTGCTGAATTTCCACCTCTGTGGCACCTGCTGGCCAGTCTCTGCATTCCCGGCTCAGCGTGATTATGACTCTACACAAGTCTGACTGCTCAGGTGGCACTTTGACCCACTCCTATCCTCGCCTAATGTTCTCAAGGATGCAAACCTGTCTGAAGCTGTCTTCTGCCTGAGCCATCCATGACCTCCATCTTATCAGCCGCTGACCCTTAACTGCACCCAGAGCTTCATACAGAGGGTGGTCTGTGTCTGCAGCTACCCTGAGATATGATTTTGCCTGCATCACCTTGTGCCTACCTGCAAACATCGGCAAACCAAGGATGTATCGCATACACACCACTGGAGTGTCTCTGATGCAACCCAGAATGACCTGTATGCGCTCTAGTTTGTGAAAAAAACGTTAAAACTAATGTCCCAAGTCTCACAATAGATTGTAGCGACCTTATCAGAGAGAGAAAATTGTAGTTTAATACAGTGTCTATATGTTCCTTTTAAATTATGACTCATGTGGTTTACTTTTTGTAAATTTCTCATTGTAAATTTATAATAAATTGTCCATACAATTTAATTATTTATAGAAATTTAAATTATGGTTGGTTATGTTTCTAAATTTACTGTCAATAAATTATGTATATTTTTTTAATTCTCTTCATTAAATGCACTGGCCATTACAAGTTATAATTATCTTCACCATTGTTCTATTCAATTTTTTTTTAAAGTGTCTGTATTACACATAACTTTTTTTTTTTTAAATCTAGAAAAATGGAAGCTTAGCCTAACAAAATCACTGCCCAAGCATAAATACATTCATTTAATCAACATGGAAGTCTCAGTTGAATCAAATGGTAGACAACTGGCAAAAAATGAAGGTTTGTATTTTTGTTACGTGAAAATCATTTGTGTGAAGCAGACAGTAATATTTTAGTCCAAGAGAGAACTTACAGACCAGCAAAGGAAAGAGTTAGGACACAACATTGTTTCACTTAAAGGAAAGAACAAGCATGTATGAAGAATGACCAGTAATAGTCATTACCCATAAGTTAAATTAGAAAGAGAGGCTGACCACCTAAATTATAGACAGTTTGGGATTGTCCCTTCCCCCAACCACCTCTTCCCCAATCCTCCTCCACATAAAGCATTAAAAATAGCCCTTTACTGGGCTTTATCTTGAAACTCAGAAAAAGCAGCTGTTTTATGGTGTTCTCTGGACAATAGAATTGTAAAAGCTGGTGTTCTAAACCTCACAGTTCATAACAGTAACATCAAACGAGAAAGCAAACTGAGATACCTGGGCATCAATTTTGATAGAAGCCTCTCCTTCAGGGATTATGTGGATGCAGTTGCGGTGAAATGCCAAAAAGGACTCAATGCTCTCAAGATTATGGCAGCAATGGACATGGAACAAAGAATGTTGTTCACAATGTTCCAGCATGTGATCCTGTCTGTGATAGATTATGGACTTGGCATGCTTACCATATCAAAGAGTCAGCTGATGAAACTTGAACGCATACAGAATGAAGCCATGCGGGTGATTCTGGGATGTACAAGAGATACCCCGGTAGTATGTATGAGATTTATACTTGCACTGCCTACTATTGCAGATAGGCTCAAAGTTCTGCAAGCAAAGTCATAGAGTAGCTGCTGACAAAAGGCATCTCTTGCATGAAGCCCTAGATAGAGCTAAGGGTCCCAGACTGAAAAGAGGAAGTCTTGGATGGCGCAAGCTTAAGACACAATTCGACATGTGTGCAGGCTTAATAAATTTAAGTGAGGAGAGGAGTTGGTCAGATTGTCTGATCATGTTTCAGACTTGTGTAGGATTCAAATCACTTTGGGACGTGAGTGCAGGGACTGGCCAGCTGGTGCTGCAGAATCAGAAGTTCAACAAATGATTCATGACAATTCCTGCCTAAGTGATGTGATTGTAAATACAGATGGCTCTGTGGTGAGGGGCAGACGAAGTACATGGGGGTTTATAGCGAAGGCGAATGGTCGTCGCTTGGTGCAACAAAGCCTGGCATTTGATATCACAACGTTTAGATCAAGAATGGAGGTGGAGGCAGTCACTGCTGCCTTCCGTTGGCTGGAGAATCAGCTGTACACACATGTCATCATTGAAACTGACTCAAAGAGCATGCTGAGAAAGGTGGAGACAGGCATGCTCCATGCAGAGTGGCAAGCATCACTTCAGAGGTCCCGGGTAGTTAGCATCCTTTGGATATTTTCACCAGGTGACACCGATGTGTTGGGAAATGAGCAAGCAGATAGATTGGCTGATTGTGCACCACTTGGTGGTGAACTGATATATGACAAGCTGGATGTTGTTAGGGCCCTTTGGGAGCGAGTGAACAGTGCCGAGGAACAGATAAATCATTATGGTCTGAGGAGAATGGCACTGCGAGGATTTACAAGGGGATCTGGCCGATGCTCGACACTTGGGGGAGGGGCAAAACGGATATACAATCAGACTGTTACTGGTACCATCGGAATTTTAACACTTCACTTGCTGCTGAAGATGGGGAAGGAGCGCTTATGGAAGTGTCCCGAGTGCTGTGTCGATTCTTAATTCAAAATTCAACATTGAAACGGCAGGGTGCAAGAGGAACAAGACACAATGAATTAAAGAATCCCTAGGATGAGGCAGATGTGCTGATCTACACAGATGAGCCCACGGTATGACAACTTAGAAGTACGTAGGTCTTCCTTTCTTGGATCTCTGCTTAGAAGAACAATCCTGGAAGCCATCAAGCGTGTTTTATGCACTACTAGCATCATGTTAATGGAGTTTATTGTTGTGACTAGCTTTCAGGTGGCTGAAATGACTATTTCTTTGTGTGTTAACTGACTGATTCCCCAAGATCTATCAGGTCTTGACAGCCTCCATACGCAGGCAGTATACTGAGTCACTGAAAAGATTCACCATTCTTCGAGTTACCTCATCTTTGTCCAAGTGTTGCTTAAAATAACAGAGTTGACAGATCAGCTGTCTTTGCCATAGTTACAGATGGCTAGCTTATGGTTCACATCAACATTGTTAATTTCCTTAGAAAGAGATGTTTTTTTGAGAATTTGGAGGCATGAGAGGCTCACCAAACTTTTTATGTCTTGTCAACCACCATAATACTGACACTGTTAGCTGTGGGATGCTGACATATATAGATATAGGTATGGTTGGGGGGGGGTGTCTGAGCCCCTGTGAGCATTAAATTATCAGGAAGACAAAAACAAAATATTTAAAGAGATTTAACTCATGCAGAAATTTACTTGCATTACTTGTGGCAATAATTACAAGAAATACAAATAAACATGGCCACTAATATGACTGTTAAATTAAACATTTTAGCAATAACTTGAAATACAAATCTAACCCATGTAATGGTCACGGCTTGGGAAAAGTTACAGCTTAAAAAAAATGTGCACACAAACTTTAGGAAGGCATTTTATCTCTGACCCTAATTAGTGTCACAATGGACTGTAGTTTCCATGCCTTCCTTAAACTCACTCAAATACATTGTCTGGAAATACAGAAAGATGCCAGCAATGACAAAATTAAATAAAAGGGCATTAAGAGCAAATGTATTTGACATAAATTAATGGGCTTTGTTATATGTGGCTCTCTCTGCAGAGTGACTGATTACCTACAGAAAGGAGATAAAAAAAATACAGTGCAAATAATGTAGTTCCAACAGTTCTTCTTCCTCTTAGCATTCACCAGCAGTAAACACTAGCAAAAAGTTCTGGTTGTTTGTTCACTTTTGGACTATGGTCTTGTTCCAGAACCTGAGTTTTGCTGCATATCCATTTTACAGACCTGGTTTATTTGTATCCAGACTGTTGGCTCCTCACCTCTCAGAAAGATTTACTCTGAATACTCTGAATGTGACAAATTAACAAACTTTTAAGAAATGCTTGTTGGGGGACAGTAGATCTATTCTTTTGACTTTCCAAAATAGGGCTCTAGAATCCACATGGAGACCTCCTACAATGACCCCCAAAGTAATACCTGCAATTGTACACTGAATAGGAAATGCATAAAATTCAGAGTATGAGACAAACAGCTTAGCCACTTCAGCACTGAGACAAGTGATGATTATACATTGACATTGGTATTACACATTGATAATTTAGCAGAATTATCAAATATATGTGACATGGGTGTCTTCCAGCATATGAGCTTTCGGTGAGTCCAGCAACAGAGTCTATTACAGTCAAAGCTTCACATGCTGCTGGTGCCTTTTATGCCATACAGTCTCTTTTCAGTCTAACAGACGAAGAGGGAAATGTAAGTATGATGTAAGTGCAGTGCCTGTTTAAACAAACTAAAAAAAAACTATCATAATAGCATACACATGTACTGTTGTTATGTTTTTTTTTTTTTTTTGGCTTTAGAAAATTAGAAATAGCAGTATTAGTCTTTTGGTCTTCTTCTTCTTTTGTCAATTTCTGTTTATGCAGTTAGGTGTCGCACGCAGTTCATCAGACAATTGGCAGCCAAGCAAGGACATGCTCAGTCGCTTGATATGCGTGATGTTATGCAGTCTCAAGGTGTCAGTGACTCCTTCAGTCAATTTTCTTCTTGGTCTTGTCCTGCCTCTTGATGTTTTGATTTTCAGGTTGTTCGCTCTTGCTGCTGGCATCGTTGTTTTCATTCTCATTAGATGGCCAAACCATTTCATTCTTTGTTTCTCAAGAATATGATGATGGGTGTTGTTCCAACAGTTTTTCTAATCATATCATTTCTCACTTGATCTCTTCATGTTTTATTCACAGATATTCTCAAACATCTCATCTCACAGATGGTTAGTTTTCTTTCATGTTCTTTTGTCAATGTGGAAGTCTGACATTGGTAATCTAAAGTCAGTATAAATATTGTATTTATAATTTGTCTTTTTTGTCTCTATTGGGATAGTAGGGTGTTTTAAAATTGGAGCAAGTTGGTACATGACATTTGTTGGATTTTTGTTTCCATCTCTCTGTCTATTTTACCATTGTGAGTAAGGATGCTTCCAATGTATTTAAAATCTTGCACTTGTTGCCTTTTGGTGGCTGTTATTAATTAATTATCATTGGTGAATGGGCATATAGTGCTTAACATATTTATACACAATCACCACCACTTCCCAATGTAGGATGCAATTTGTGATTATTTCCAAGCCTAACCCCGGCTGTATTTGGGGACCATAATATAACCTAACGGTTGAACAGGGTTTTTGGGACTTGTGCCCAGGTGATCCTCATCTAAATGTTGAAAATTTGGCCAAGGTCTTTATCAGCAGATTATTAAATACAACACAAAAAGTGACTGGAAAACTCAACTGACTCAAGACAACAAAGCTCCTAATCAACCGAGGTCAATTTGAATCCAAGTAAAACGTAATGGTGGGAAAAAATGAACACGGAGGACCACATTATAAAATGAAAGAAGTAAGAAGGTGTTTGAAAAAGGTTTTCTACAAATTAAAAAAAAAAAAGAGTAAAATTAGTAAATAAAAAATTTAAAATTAAATAAAGCATTGTTGAACATTGATCCCTCTCGGATTGAGAATGCCAAAACCATGAATGAGAAGATGTTCAAATTAAGCAGTCCTCTTTAAAATTGATGCAAATGCTAAACCAACTGGAGGAATTAAACCTAGACAGTACATAGTTTTGGACATGTTCTGAATGTTGAATTAAGAATTGACATCACAGCACTGGGGACACTCCCATAAGTGCTCAGTCTCCATCTTCAGCAGCACATGAAGAGTTCCTATTCCGATGGTACCAGTAACAGTCTGATTGTACATCTGACTCATCCGTTCACTGAATGTTGAGCATTGGCCAGATCCCCTTGTAACTCCTTGCAGTGCCATTCTCCTTAGACCGCAATGACCTGTCTGCGCCACCGCACTGTTTACTCACTCCCAAAGAGCCCTCACAATATCTTAATTGTCATACATCAGTAAACCACTAAGTGGTGCAGAGCCAGTCAGACTAACTACCTGCTCATTTCCCAACACACCGGCATGACCTGGAGAAAATATCAAAAGGATAATAACTACCCGGGACCTCTGAAGTGATGCTTGCCACTCTGCACAAAGCATGCCTGTTTTGGACATGTTCTGAGAAGGAATAGACATGAGAATAAGATGACAACTGGCAAGATCGACAGAAAATAACAAAGGGAAAACAACGAGATAGAAAGTTGTGCATAGTTTGGCCACATGGTTAGAATCTGATAAGAGCACTGACATGCTCTGGAATGATGATGATCATGTGAAAAGGTGAAAAATAACCACCTACTTTTATTGGCATTGCACATTATGAAGATGACAATGAATTGCACCTATAAATGTTAAAATGTATCTTTTGTGCGTGTTCGTGTGTATGTGTGTGCATGCGTTCGTGTGTGTCTATGTGTACATGCCTGTGGGTGTTTGTGAGTGAAACAAGCCTAATACAGTTATTTGTCTCATTAAATTGTGAATGTTTTATTACAGTTCAGAGTTCTGCCATATTCTTCTTCTTCTTCTTTCGTTCGCATGAAATAAATTGTCTATATCTGCAAAGCTGTCTCTAGTATGAATTTCACTGTCTTTTGTAATTCACTAAGCGGCCCGTAAAGTTTGACTTCCACAAGTGTCTCTTTTGGCCAAAGGTTTTGCCTGAAAGCGTTGAATCTGGGACAGTCTTGAAGGATGTGATCTGTTGTTTCAGGTGCCAGTCCACAAGTACACATGGCTGATTGGCCAATCTTAAATTTGTTGTACATGTGGGAGCGAAGTCGATTGTGCCCTGTTCTAAGGCGAAGGATAATGACTTGCTCTGGTCTGTCCATAATATGGTAATCATCTTGTGCCAGTTTCGGTGGCATTCTGATTGATTTGATCATTCTCTTCTTCTGTTGATAAGAGACTGGTATGTCAGGTTGTTCTTCAGTTGCACCTTCCTTAGCTAGTTTATCAGCTTTTTCGTTTCCGGGAACTCCACAGTGGGAAGGTATCCACTGCATTACTAATTTACAGCGGTTGCCTAGTTCGGATAATAGTGTCTGTATGCTTGGTAATTTTCCAGACTGGAGTGACTGAAGTACTGCTTTTGCATCTGTCAGGAATACCACTGGTTGTGAAAAAATACCCTATATTTAGTAGTTTCTCTACCGCTATCTTGATGGCTTGAACTTCTGCATCATAGTTGTGACAGTGCTTTCCCGTTGGTAATTTGGCTGTATCCCTGGTATTATTAGGATACTCAATGTACACTCCTGCACCTCCGTTTCTGACTGCGCTTTCTGCTGACCCATCTGTGTAAACACGGACCCAAAGGTTCTTCGGGTATTCATCATCAAGTAGACTTAGGGTGGCTGTTTTGCGCTGCACACTGTTTTGCTCTTCCTTGTCAAATACCCCTTTCACTTCAGTCTTGATGTGTATTGGAAACTTATACTCCTCTCTCCAGGGGGTCCGTTCTGGGACAGCATTTAAGGATCTATCAGTTGCAGGTAAATCAGTGGTTTGTCTGCCGAGCCGTTTGGCCTGGTGGATAAAGCTACTTCTCTTTAGTCGTCCCAAAGCTAAATTTTTGAATCTTTCATTCATAGGGTGACTGGGCATACTAAGGAACTTTTCTGCTTGTAAAAGCATCTTGGTGTCTCTGCGTTCACTCAGTGCTTGGGTCATCCCCATTTTCTCCATCACAGCTATAGGTGTTGATTTCATACTGCCTGTGGTAACTCTGAGTGCTTGATTTTGCACTTTATCTAATTCTTGCAATGTGGTTTTTGATGCCGAACTCCATGCTGTTGATCCGTATTCAAGATGTGGTCGAACACTTTGTTGGTAAACTTTCCTAAGTATTTTCCCGCTAGCACCCCATGTGGTTCCACTTAGTTTTCTCAGAATGGCTACCCTCCTTCTGGCTTTGGTTGCTGCCTTGTTGATGTGTTTTCTCCATGTTAATCTATCATCAAACGTTACGCCGAGGTATGTGGGCTCCTTATCCTCTCTCAGGGGTACTCCATTTATGTGCATGACACCTGATTTTTTGTTTAGGAGAAAGGGTAAAGAGGGTGGTGCTGCATTTGCCTATATTGATGCTGACACACCATTTGTCGGCCCAATCAGCCATTGCATCTATGGCTCTTTGTAGCAGTCTGGTGGCCACTGTCGCATTTTCATTTGTACACCAGAGTACCAAGTCATCAGCATACATTGCAGCTTTAATTCCATGGGGTAGTTCAGAAAGCAGGTCGTTGATATAGACTAGGAAGAGTGTGGGGGACAGGACACCTCCTTGTGGGACGCCATGGCGCAGCAAAACTTTCTTACTCTTAAGTCCATCTATCTGTACTCGGGATCTTCTGTTATACAAGTATGCTTTCACCCATTTGTACATACTTCCATTCACCCCGCAGTCTCTCAGTTTCTTCAGTAGACCTTCTTTCCAGACCTTGTCAAAGGCTTTCTTCAGATCTATCCATGCCGTTAGCACTAGCTTCTTTTCCTGGAAGGCATCCTCAATTTCTTGTGAAAGGTAAGTTGTCTGGTCTTCTGTGGAGTAGCACTGTCTAAATCCTGCCTGCTGCGGCGTGAAAATGTTTTCACTTTCCAAGTACCATTGGAGTCTAAGGTTGACAATACGTTCCATTGTTTTACAGAGGCAGCTACGCCAAAGAAGAAGCGCATGGGCATTTACAGCACGCTCAGCGGGCAGAACAGTCAAAGAAGCCAACGGCGCCTTCTCCATGACAACCAGCAGCATGACGATGGAGGTGATGGCAGTGACGCAAGCGCTTGCCTGGCTTGAAACACAAAAATACACCCGCGTGTGTATACTCAGTGATTCAATGAGTATGATCCGGAGGGTTCAGGCAGGTTCAGTGCGAAGACAATGGCTTGAATCAATTCAGAAGTCCACTGTGCGAGGAGTCACCTTTATTTTTGTTCCGGGACACGCAGGCGTCGATGGAAATGAAAGAGCTGACAGGTTGGCTGGATCCGCTATCACTACCGACGGTCGGCCTATGGATCATGCTGATATTATCAATGCCCTCAGAGAAATGGGAAGGATAGAGGACTTTGGTGGCAGTGAATCCACATCACTCGCCAGAATGGCAGACTTGGGAATTAAGATCGGCACAGCAAAAAACGAGACGCACACCGGACACGTCAGAAGACTTGTTAATCAACATAGAACTGGTACTATTAGCCATCGGACGTTGGGATTCATACTGAGGGGAGGATCTGAGCACCTATGGACATGTCCGGAGTGCAATGATGATAACGCAACTAACTAACTAACTAACTAACTAACTAACTAACTAACTAACAGAGGCAGCTGGTAAGACTGATCGGTCTATAGCTGGAGGCATCAGAACTGTCCTTTCCTGGTTTAAGCAGAGGTATTGTGATTGCTTCTCTCCATATTTGAGGAACTTTGCCACTGGTCCAACAATGATTAAAGATCTGTAGCAGCTTTTTTTTGGCAGTTGTTCCAAGGTTCTTGATCATTTCGTTGGTGATTCCATCAGTTCCAGGTGATTTTCCCATTTTCAGCTTTTATATTGCTAATTCTAACTCGCTGGATGTAAATTCTGCCACCAGTGCCTCAGGAATTATATCTTTTTGTCTTGTATGTTGTTTGTTTTCTTGAACCTCTCGCTGTTTCTCTGGGCTGACATTAATGTTGCTGTCTTCTGCAAAGGAATCTGCAAAGTGGTCAGCTGCCTGTTTTCTTGTTAGGATGGCTCCCTCTTTGCATAGTGCAATATTACCATTTCTTCCTGTATTCTCATCATTAATTTGCTTAATTAACCTCCACAGCTTCCTTGTGTCTCTTTCAAAGTTTAGAGACTTTGTCTTTTCCTGCCAGCTTCTCCGTCTAGCCTGCAATTTGGCCTTTGAATGTTGGTAGTTGTTAAACTGCTCTTGACAAGGTCTGGTCTCAGCTTGTTTTCTTTCTGTTTCCATATTGTTGTGCAGTTGCTCCAGATCGCAATTCCAGTACGGTTTGTATTGTTTACGCGCACCTCTTGGAACTGCTTCTAGGGCTGCCTGCAGTATGTGTTTGCTCAACTCTTTAACTACTTTGTCTACGTTGTTATCTGCCATATGAATTTAAAAGCAACAACAGACTACTAGTTAAAGAAGAAAAACATATTCTTGTTGATTATTCCAAATTCACGTGTATGCTGATTTTATCCTTTCACTTTACTTAGATTTATTAGAACTGTAAATTTTACTTAAACATTAGCTTAATAGTGAAATAAAATCTGTACCAGTTTTCCTATTTTACAGATCCCAGAAACAACAATTACAGATGGGCCTCGCTATAGATACAGGGGACTGATGATTGACGTTGCCAGAAATTTTCATGGGAAAGAAACCATAATGAAGTAAATTTGATTTATTAGTTTGGTTAGTTTCATAAAAATTTTGACAATCTGAATTTGTTGAATACAATAGTTTAGTATAAAATCAGTTTGCATTACACTACTAATGCATTCTGTCTGCCAGTGGAAAGACAAGACAAATCTGTTCTGTTAGTAAGATTGTTTTGGAAGTATTTATACAGTGAAGTTTTAGCTGTTGTCTGAGCAAATAGCACTACTGGAGTTGTAGCAATTGTAAGAGATATTTACACAGTTAGAGTTTAAAGAACAGTCTGAGATAGCTCAACATTTGACATTTTATACAAGTAAACTCATTTTGGTGGTTATTTGAGACAAAAGTTAGAATTTAATCAGTTAGTTTTAAAAGTCACACATTGTTTCTTTTGATAGTTGTTAGAGATAGCTATACATTTAGAATTTTAGCAGATGTGACCTTTGACTGGTTGATTTCATTTACAACTGTATCTTTTAATGTCTTCACAGATACATTGACGCCATGGCTATGTACAAGCTGAATAAGCTTCACTTTCACTTGACAGATGATGAGGGATGGAGACTGGAAATACCTGGCTTGCCAGAACTAACAGAAGTAAGATAGCCTGATAACAACATAATTTCAAAACAATGTTTTACATAGTGAATTTAAAAACAACAATGTGGCCACAAACAATTCACTGCACAATTTATTCTCTGGCATATTTTGATATATCCTATCAGGTACATCACTACAGCTACAGCAACAATTGTGCACAAACACACACACACACGCACGCACACACACACACCAACATGAGAGAATTTTGCAGTTTATATTGAAATGCACAAATCACATAGACTCTCTCCCTACATTATCTGTCCGTTCACCACAAGATTTAAAAAATAAAATAAAATAAATAAATAAACAGAAGAAATTGCAGTAGGAAAACCTAACACATAACAAAACAAAAGTAACTGATGTAAGATAACCTGACATACAATAAAATAGAAGTAACTGCAGAAAGATAACCTGGCTTATGATAAAACAGAAGTAACTGAAGTAAGATAACAAGATAGGAAACAGTGAATACTTTTTAAAGTTTTCGCCATGTGGTAATAACAAACATGTCAGTTAACTGTCTTCTGTCACATTTAATATCAATAAATTATGACTGAGATATTTTTCCATGCAAACTGTCCATTATTGTCCACCTTGGCCTCCCTTTGCCTTTCTTTCATTTTAATTTTCCTAATGTCATGACATATTCCAGTTCTCCATTCTAATGATTTGCTGAGAGAATGGTTTTTTGTTGTTTTTTTATGCTACAGATAAGCAAGTATTTGTATTCTCATCACTTTGTTTTGAAAACCACATCTCCATATAATGTTTCATTAATCTACTGGTTGTCTCTGACACACTTGCACTGCACCAAATATGTGATTAAAGATAAAGGTTAGAAGTTTAGACTAGAGAATCAACTTCAATGTACTGGTTTTATCCCTTATGGCTAGCCACTTGCCAAGAGGGTTGCACAACAGACTTTGTAACATGTGATGAATTTCAGTAAAAATTGCACCTGTGAAATGAACGACACATCCATGAAATAAATCCACAACCTTCAGAGTGAAGATAACAAGTTTAACCACACTGACATGGAGAAATAATTAAATTCACTCTTAGAGTCCTAGGAGCTTTAGTATTAGAGGCCTAAGGATGGTAATGCAATTTTTAAATTTCACAAGTGTTACAAATTAACTCTACCAGACCACTGGCCCGCTATTACGGGAATTTCCTAACCTGCCGCTAAACCGTTGTCCCTCAATGTCGGGAATGTGCGTACTATGAGAAAACAATGAGTCACAAACTAAAAATAACTAGCAAATCGTAATCAGATCTCGTGGACAATCTTCCTAGATGTCTGTCCGCATGTGTTTGGATAAAATTTGTGTTGTTTTACGTGAAAAAAATTCTGAAAATTCACAATGAAATGAGTAGCTGATCAACCAAGCACTGCAACAGGAAAGTGAAGTAGGTCTAGGCTTTTCCCAGTCCAACAGGTGATCGATACTTTGCTTTATTCAGACTCTGCGCGGTCATAATTGCATGAAGAATACGTTCACAATTGAAGTGACACAGTCAGTGTGATGTGGAATGATGAGGAGAATCTTCAAAATTATAAATCTAGAAAGAGATCGATAGTAGAAGGGGGCGGGTCCCTCAAACAGCAACATCTGGTGTTTACTTTGTGAAACAAGGTTGATCCTGCTTGGCGATTTAGCACACAAAGGTGGAATATTGGCGCTAGATAAAAGGTTAACCTATTTTCTACAAAGTCTCCAAGTTTCATCTTATTCTGGCCACTTGTTTGCATTTAATTAATATTTTTGTTGTTCTTGTTTTTTTGTGTTTTTTTTGCGTAATGCCCAGGAGCTCAGGTATAGGAGGCAGTTAGGTTCAGGGCCTGAGGTCTGGTAGGGTTAAAACAGACCATTACTAATTCAGCTGCTGCATAACATACACATATTATACATCAAAGCAACCAGGGATAGTTGAGAAAAAATATTTTAAGGCTACCATAAAAATAATTTGCCATAATAGTTAATTATTATTAAATAAACAGATGGTATGTTTAGAGAAATTAGTAAAAAGAATTATAATAATTTTCCACTTACCACCATGACACTCAAGGAAAACTCGATAAAATATATCCAAAATTAATTACAAATGAACATGGACACCACTTACAACCATTGCACACAAGGAAAACTTGATCAAATATATCCAAAATGAATAACAAATGAACATGAACCATTTAGTAATGAATAAATAAAATATAAACACAAACTGTCCATTAGATCTTGTTCTAGAGAAACTTTTAGAATATAATAATAGAGCACCATTTGTTGGTAAAGAAAAATTACCTTCGAAAACCATTAGTATTTTCACAAAAAACAAACTTCACTTAACACACAATTAGCCTGTAATTTTATAGCCTGTGTTCGCAAATAATATGGAATCACAACGGTATCATATTTATGAGAAATTTTGTTTCATTGGTGTGTTCTTTATGTCACAGATAGGAGGCAAGAGATGCCACAACCCTTCAGAAACAGTTTGTCTTTTACCTTTTCTTGGATCAGGACCCCATTCTGTAGCTCCAGGGTCTGGATTCTATACAACTGAAGACTATAGGTAAGAATATATCACAAATGTACTTAGGTAAGAGACGACAGTATCAAATAAAGGAGAAAGTTCAAGGACAAATTCCATTCAGTTAAGGTGTACACCTTTTAGAGATACTGTTTATACCACTTTATGATTTACCCTTTGAAGAAGCAGGAAAAACAATAATTGATCAAGTAAATATGGATCTTATTAAAGCTAAGCTTTAGATGTAAAGTTAGATTTTTCAAAGGACATCACAAACCAGCCCTGGTTTTTATTTACTGTTGTGTGATTTTACTGGGCAATTTCACCTTCAGATGTTTGCCATTGCTTTCTGAATAGCACCTGTATCTAAATTTGAAACATATTTCAGAATTATAAAATTGCATTGACAATTTTTTAGCTTCACGTGTTGTTTTTTTAACTCTTTGAGTCCCAGGGGGTTTTGCATCAGGGGAAACCACACAACTGGAGCAGATGTCCAACATACACATATCATACAAAAAATTAAACATAAATTGATAAGGATTAATATTAGCATACTGCTACAACAAACAATTATACTGTTAGTATTTAGCAGAGAAAACAGGGACTTAGTTTGAGAGGTGAGTAAATTATGAACAAGTTTTTCCACTTACCCAGAAGCTGATCCCAAAATTCTTGATATAGTATATCCAAAATGCATCACAAAGGAAGGTACACCACTTATAAGTATGCACAGCCAATATTAAAGCAAAATGTGCAATAGTTGTTGTTCCATAGCAATTTTAATAACACTACCATAATACGTCAAAATATAATCTCCAGTGGCACAAACAGTGACTTTTCTAAAAACAATTGAATTCCTCACATAGAAAAAACTGTAAAGACACTGTAAACATGTCAACCTGTTCATAGATATATATCTATGGTTTAAGATGATATGGATTGTAGTACTAGAAGCGCTGACATTTGGACTAGAAGGTGTCGCGTTACGAGGTGCTTCTCTTGTGTTGCCATGGCAGAATTAGTCAGTTTTGTCCTCTTAGCAGGAGGTAAATTACGCACACATCCTCATAAACTTGACTCCTCAACGGTTTGGGGAAATTCCACGTCGCTACTAT